ACAGACACCATCAGAACTGTGAGTGTTATAGACGGAGGTTGTCATGAATTTGCAAAACCATTGACACGACAGTTCACACCTACGGACAATTTAGAATCACCAATTAACCTCAACATGTTTTTGGACTGTGTGGGAGGAAGCCAGAGAACCCAGAGAGAACCCACACTGCACGGGGAGAACATGCAAACTCCACACAGAAAGATCCCAGGTGTCCTCACCGGGATGCAAACCAGCGATATTCTAAATGTGGGGTGACTGTGCTAACCACTGAGCCACCTTGCAGCCTTGAAAGAAACTAACATTATTTAAATATTTCCATATTGTACATTTTTGTTCGCTGCAAGGTGGTGCAGTTGGTAGTATTGTTGCCTCGCAGCAAGAAGGTCTCTGGTTCGCGTGGCTTCCTCCCACACAGTCCAAAACCATGTTGAGGTTGATTGGTGATTCTAAATTGTCCATAGGTGTGAATGTAAGTGTGCTTGGTTGTCTGTCTCTAAGTGTAGCCCTGCGATGGACTGGCGACCTGTCCAGGGTGTCCCCTGCCTTTGCCCTAAGTCAGGCTCTGGGATAGGCTCCAGCCCCCCCGTGACCCTAATGAGGATTAAGCGGTGTATAGATAATGGATGGATGGATGGATGGATGGATGGACATTTTTGTTCAGATTACAGTCACATAAGCCCCTTCTGGACCTGTGACATGTTCCATTTCTGGGTTCATCAATCCCTTAAAGCAGTGGTTCTCAACCTTTCATTCAAGTACTCCCTAACCAGGGCAGAGCATTTTTGGTTGAAAAAAGAGATAAAAATGTAAAATACAGCACTATGTCATCAGTTTCTGATTTATTAAATTGTACAACAGTGCAAAAATATTTCTCATTTGTAGTGGTCCTTCTTGAACTATTTGGAAAAAACATAAAAATAACTGAAAGCTTGTTGAAAAAGAAATAATTAATTCAATCATAAATCAAGTTTTCTACACATAGAAGTAATCATCAACTTAAAGTGCCCTCTTTTAGGATTATAATAGAGATCCATTTGGATTCATGAACTTAATTCTAAACAGTTCTTCACAAAAAAGAACATCAATATTTATGGAAAATGTTCACAAAAAATCGAGCTGTCAACTATGAATATTGCATTGTTGCATTTACGTCCTTTCTTTTTCATGGACATTATAGTGAGAAACCTGAGCTTGTGCTTCACTGAGGATCTTTGTCAGTCTTGGTGGCAAGGAGGCAACTGCTGTGATCAAGCTCTCCTCCAGGCACAGTCTGTTTCTTTGCTTTGATTTGATCACAGTCACTGCAGAGAAAGAGGTCTCACATAAATATGTGGCGGCAACGAGTAGTAGCTGCTCCAAAGCTTTCTACCCCAGGTCAGGGTGCTCCTGCTTCACAAACACCCACAACTATGTGAGTGTGGAGGTGGAAAACTTCATCTGGAAGCCACGGTCAGATGATGCTTCCAGGAGTTTTTCCTGACAAGTGACAGGTAGCTTCTGTTTGCTTCAGACAATAGAAACAGATTTCACACCCAATCCAGCTGTGCTGATTTCTCCCCCATGTCAGGAAAGTAGGAATGAAAGTCTTGAATCAAGTTGGTCAAATGTCCCACAATGACTGACTTGACTGGAGCTATGTCCACATCCTCACTTAAGAGAAAATCATCCACGTGAGGAAAGCAGGTGAAATTTCCCTGTGCACAGGCCATTTTCCACAGCTTAGCTTTCTTCTGAAAACCACCCACCTTGTCATAAAGGTTTAAACTGTTGGTGTCCTTGCCCTGCAGGGACATATTCGGTTCATTAAGTTTGCCGAAAATATCTGCCAGTTAACATAACTTAGTAAGCCAGCCTATGTCCTGGAACAAGGTGGCGTTGGAGGAATGGTGATCAATCAGAAAGGTGTGTACCTTGGATTGTAATTCCAACAGCCAGATTAGTGTTTTCCCTCTGGAGAGCCAGCGCACTTCTGTGTGCAGCAGCAGTTGTGTGTTCAGCTCCCATATTTTCACAGAGGCAACGAAACAGGCGTGCATGAAGTGGTCTTGATTTTACAAGGTTGATCACATTGATGCTGCTGTTTAAAACGTCATGTAACACTGGACTAATTTTCCTGGACGCCAATGCCAGTTGATGCTGCTGCAGGACTTCCAGCTGATGCTGT